AGCAGCATCTGTTAACTTTCATATCATGATGTTGGTGCAGGGTAGAAATGTTCACCAAAGCATAATAATATAATAACTTATTTGGGTCAGGTTATTTGAATGAACTGATGCTAAGGCATGGAGCAGAACAAGAACATAAAAGCTATTGTTTTCCTCTGATCCCTTTACAGTGAAAGGCAAATGCTACCCACACCTAATTAATTGATATACTCACACTGCTTCAGCTTTAACATCATGGTACATTTAGGTTGTAACAGACAGTAATTCTAGTGAGGAAAACCAGTATTATCTATGAAAAATGGCTGCCAGGATCTTCCTGACAAGCACCCGTCCTTGCCTTGCTGATGTGTCACCATTCTACATGATTTATCCACTACACAACTGTGTCTCACGGAGCTCTTGAACCTTCTGAAGCTTCTGTTTCTTGGGAGATCGCTCTAGCCAAGCACTTTGTTTACCTGTCAGCTTTCCTGCCCTAAAACGTGCCCCACTCCCCACTAGGACTGACCTAGAAGATGGTTTATGTGCATCTGGTAGGCATGTGAGTGCCCTGTCCCTGAGGCCCACCAGGGAGCACCAGGCATGTGAACTTCACCAAAACCAGCCTCCTCCACCATCCCATGGAGCCAGAGACAGCCTCTGTGTGCCGATCTTCCAATCCATACAGCACAGATTTGACAAACACAAGCTGTATTTCTGTGTTTTCCTAGAAACTGTGCAATTAGCAATTTCACTGAACATTACTGCTCTGAAAACTGTGACAGAACTCAGGAAAAGGAGATGCTCTGACCAGACAACTCTTGAGGCTGTGTTCGGAGTCAATCAGTGCTGGGCTCCCCCAGCAAGCAGGAAAGGAACAAAAAAACCAGTGCCTGAAGATACAAATCAACAATGATTTCATTTTCAGATAAATTAACACCTAATATATCTGCTTTTTAAAGTGAGGGAAAAGGAAAGAAAAGTAAAAGGCAAAGGAGAGAAGCAGAGGAGACAAGAAGAGAAGGAGAGATTTTGAGACAAAACTCCCAAATCTTTGAATGTGCCTTCTAAAGGAATCTATCCAGATGGTTGAAACAAGATATTACAACATATTTCAAGACTTTTCTATATTTCCCTCCTATCCATCTTTTTTATGGCTGAGAGTGTTTCAGTTGAATTTGTCCAAATCCCTGTATAGCTTCAGTTTCCCTAAAAAAACACTTCCCAGCCAATGAATTATTTATTGAGGATATTTCACTTTATTTCTGACTCCTTGCCTTCCCTGAAGCCTCTAAATCTTTGGGATGGGAGTGGGCATACTCTTCCTGCCTTCATCCCTCTAAGCTCTTATCCATCACAGCTCTTCTTTGAGGGCAGTGGACTCTCCTGAGAAGGAATCAAAATGCAATTTCAGCAGCAGCAGCAGCAGCCACCTCCACTTCAGAGGAACCAGTGTCCTATAAGCTCAAAGGGAGCACAGTTGTCTGTGCTGAACCTGTTCCATTTCATTTAATGACTGTACCTCATGGGTGTATTTACCTGTCACTGAGACACTAGCTCATAACCTGCAGCACTGATCGCTGGTGGAATTACTGTGTGATCCCAGTCACCAGTTCAGTAGTCCCTCTTTTTTTGGCTTCACCTAGGGCTCAGAAGCCTCAAAGCAAAAACAGCCATGGGAAGAACCTCCTCAGCATTGTCAGTGACCGCGAGGTTGCTGTGAAGGGGCAAAGCTCTCCAGGCAGCACGGCCTGAAAGGCTTCTGACCCACACGTCCATGGGCACAGGTGTAAGTGGAGAATCTGACAAGGAGCAGCCACAGCAGGGCTCGGGAGATCTGCAGAGCCTGTGGTTGCAGCCGGCCCGCGCCGCCCAGCGCCGCACGCTGTTTTCAATTACAAGCCTGCAGACGAGCCGGCATGGTGGTCCAAGATACACTCCAAGGGTGATAGCGGTTCCCAGTTCAAAAATCTGTGGCCCATTCAAAACATTTGGTGGAAGCACAATGCTTTCTTATTTTTGTGCTAAGAACAAGCTTGTTCTGATCTAAATGGATGGCTTTCTTACAGCTAATCACTGTGCTCCAAAAGGTCAGACACGTTCCGATTAACACGCATCTTTTGTTAGTTACATTTGGGTTTGTTGCTGTTTGGAGGCAAAGGGTGATCTCATTTTAGACAATTCTGTTTACTTAATTTACTTAATCTCATATCTAGCAAGGAAAATAAAAACTATATAAAAACTGATGTTCTAAAATAGCCTGTTGCTATTACAATTTTTTAGAAGGGCAAGTTAAACACTCTTTGAAGAGATAGCTAATTAAAACTTACAAAATACTCAGATTAATCTGAGTTTGTAGCAAGTCTAGTAAACTAGTGACTAAAATCTCAGACTTCACACTAAGTTATTTGTGTAAGTGGCTTATCACCATTTTAATATTCCTTCAGTTCAATTTAACAGCATCATCAAATAAACATAGCTTCAGGCAAATGTACTTTTAGCTGTATTTTCTGTGAGCAAAATTTTTGTCAATGTATATTGTCTGTATAAGTGCTGAAAAGAAATCTGCTGTAAATACTTTAAGCAATGGATTAACATCTGAATGCAGTTATGACATTGTAGGTAAAAATGTGTTTCATGATGATTAACTACTTGAACTTGATGATTTCTAAAAAGTGGAACAATCACTTGGTCTCATTTTCTGGGTGAAAGACAGCACTTGCAGAATGAGAATCACAATACAAACAATAACGAACAATTATAGTTCATGATGATTAACTACTCGAACTTGATGATTTCTAAAAAGTAGAACAATCACTTGGTCTCATTTTCTGAGTGAAAGCACTTGCAGAATGAGAATCACAATACAAACAATAACGAACAATTATAGTTGCACTTTCAGAACTGATCCTATCTTACGGAGTTCAACAGATGTTTTGACACTATTGTTGAGGTGAAAACAGATATGGAAATGTAAATATTAAATATCTTTATATACACAAAGAGCAGGCAGGAACACACCTATTCTGGCCCTGGTCTTGCCCCCCAGAATCAATTACAGGCTGCCTTTGATATTTTTCTCAACCTATATAGATATTTTATTTCCTGCAAAAAGCCTATATTTTTTCAGGCAACACCCTATGCCACACACATGGATGGAAACAAAGTGGGAGGTAATATGCAGTGAAATGGCCACCAAAGTAACCAAGAGCACCCTCTCCACATAACTGAAGTACCACTGTATTTAACTCTTGGGAGAGCCGAGCATCACTGTTAACAATGGATGAAACCACTGGCAGGAACTCAAACCCCACATACTGCATGCAGATGATTTTAATAAGATACAGTGTTTAGACCACAAAGGATACACTCAAGAGTAGCTCTATATATATTTGTTTACTTAATTGAAGGGGTGGAATACCATAGGCAACCTAAATACTGCATTTATTCTATGCACAGCAGTCAGTCTAGTGTCACAGACACAATATACACCACCCTTCTATGAAGTTAATTACTTAGCCCTCATCTAGATTAATGTCTGTTGTGATTTATTTCTTTGCAATTCGCCAGCAGGCTCTGATTTAACTAGTGCTGCCTAAGTAAAAAAAAAAAAAGACAAAATATTAGCTTATATCAAAATCCCCCAACTTAAACAAAAACTGAATAAATTTTCAGCAAACTCTGACTTTTTTCTTCTAAGAAGAACAGCAACTTCTGAATTGTTACACAGTTGATGCTAAATTATATTTTGAATACCAAGCTAACAATAGTGTTATTTTAATAATTTATATGTGATGTGCAAAGATATGCTGTACAAAGGGCCTACATAGGAACTGAACATTTGAATGCTCATTAATTCTTTTCTAAACTTAGTACTCTTTGTCTGCATCAGTCATCTTGATGCCAGTCTAACAGAAGAACAAAATAAAACATAGCCTGTAAATTACACATACGTGACACATAAATGCATGTTAACAGAACATTAAGACTGCAGACTGTAACACTTCAAAGATAGGAAATGTCAGAGTTAAGACTAACTCCCTCAATTTGAGCATGTTATTAATTTTGTGTTATGGCATTGTCTTTAATCTTAAAAAAAAAAAAATAAATAAGAAACAAAAATGGTGCTAGAAGCAAACGCCAATTATGGAAAACTTCAGCCTGGAGGATTACAAATTGATAGGGGATACAGAAAAGAAAACAAGGAAGTGGGAAGTATTTTTAATTTGTAGACAATGCTACAGTTCCTCCTCTAAAACCAGAGCTGGCTTGGGCTCTCCTAAATTAACCAGAAGGAATGATGTCCAAGCTATCAAACAGATTATGCCTTCCTCACCCAATGTATCAAAATGCTGCACTTGATATCCACTACAGAGGATAAAACATTCAGTAATCATCAGTCATCTTCAAAGAGTTGACTTCAAATTGAGATTTCAAAAACTTTTATTTCCTTAAATCACGTCTTATTTTTAAAATACTATGGCTGACTACAAGTGTATAGCTTGTTCTCCAGCCCACTGCTTTCACCAATCATATTGGGACGAGCCTCTCTTACGCATTTCCCTCAAGGAATACTTTCAGTGGCAGAAAGTATTGGCCTGTAAGATCTGGGAGATAATCAGCAGAAAGAGCAGGAAGACCATCTGCCATGCTTGAGGAAAGCTCACAACTTTGCTTCAACAGAGGAGGTGCCCTAAGCAACAAAGTTCTTGCAGTTCCTGCCATTCTGTTTCTTCTGTAATGCCACCAATTTACAGGTGGATTGAGAAAAACAGTGAGGCATGTTGTCTGCTGTTCAGCTCCCATGGGGATCTCAGCCCTGCTCCAATTGTCATTTCCCAAAGTCAATGAAAATCCTGGAATTTTTTACATGCATTTCAGGACATTTAACATTTGGAACTAAGACACCAGGATTCCTCCTCTACCAAATTATGTTATCAGTTGTCATTATGGCACAAGAAAGCCTAAAAATACTAAATGAATAAACTAGAAGGTAAGGACCTGTTCTTTCCAATACCTACTTTTTTTTTTTTGTTGTTTTTTTACTGACAACTACATTGATTGGAAGAGTGGGCCCATTGTTCTCCCTTGGAACACCAGAGCTTTGGCTTGTGGGGTGGCTGCACTGGCAAAGGTGCCTCCCTGGAAGTTCAGCTGCATGAAGGACTGTTGCTTCAGGGAAGAAATAAATCATATTCAGCTCAGCTTGCTTCCCCTCCAGACCAAGCTGGCCATGTCCATGCCACGATTCATGCCAGGAAACCTGTCAGAACAGGAACTTTAAAGGGCTTCTGCCACAGCTTTCCTGCTCTCAGCTGGCAAATGGACTCTCACCACGGCAGCTTATAAACTGCTCAAAGATTTTAGTCAGCAGCTGCCTTCTCTGAGATTTTGTACACATCCCATTATCTGCAAGAGCTCATCCATCATGACATAGCAGTGGGTTTTATTTTGTTGTTTCAGGGTTTTTTTTCCACTTCAGACACAGATTCTTCCATCACTTTAGGCACTGCAGTATAGATTTCACATTTAAATTAAACACAGAATATAGAATTTTAGCTGCAAAATAGGATGTATTAAGGCCCAGAGTTATCCTCAGTTGATATTTTAACTGTTACTTTCCAAGTCACAAATTAAGTATTTTTTCATGATCACAATGCAGACCATTCTGCAATCCATAAAGTCTGAAAACATAGTTAAGGATTCTCAAAATGAAAACTGCTACTGGATGTGACAGGTTGAAACCACAGAAGCCCCCTGAAAAAAATTAATTATACAAAACAGCTCTTGCCTCAGAAGTGTTTTAACACCACAATGGGAAGTCATGAATTTCTATGAAATTTGCAAATTGCTGCACAAAAACTGAGTTTAAACTAAATTTCATACTTGGCAATTCTCCTCTTCCATACTCATGGACATTTTTCTACGGACCTTTTTCAGTAACATTTCTTTTTACATCAGAAAGGGGGTAAAAAAATTCAGAGAAAATGTCACCCAATAGACTAAGTAGATATTTAAAAGACATACTCTGTGACACAGCTAACATGCACTGACTAAGCTCTGCTCCCCCACCATGTTCCACAGTACCGGGTTAGGATGGGGGCAGACCAGCTAAAGCTGGGACCCCTGTCTCAGCTACAGCTACCACAGAAAGCCTGGACCCAGATTCTCTTTTCCACTAAGCCTCCTGACAGGTTTTCAGGAGAAGCAGTAACTGAGGAAGTGGTAGTGTAGCCTGAGTAGTGTCCACGTAGATAGGATGGGTATGTCCGATCTGGGCTTCCCTTTGCTCTTTTTCTCTTGCTCTTCTCAGTGCTTCCCAGCTCAGCAGGAAAATACCAGCAGGAACAGTCACATAGAGCTCTCCCTTCTCCCCCTCCTGCAGGCTGCACTGTGCAGAAAGGGAATGATCTCTTACAGATTCTCCTCTGCTGCTCTCATCACTTCGTTATCTGAGTGCCTTCCAATAGCGTATTAAGCTACATGATTAACTCCTGTCACATGTGGCTTGTTCTCTCTGATCCTCTCTGCAGGGGGAGGATCTGGGCCTTTGCAAAGGAAAAGGAAACATAAGTCAGCTTTAAAAGTGGTGTGCAAATGAATAAAAAGGACTAGGGCCAGAGTTTTTTTGGTTGGTTCACTGGGTTTCTGAAACTGCCTAACCCCCAACAGATGGCAAAAAAGAATACATGCTTATTTTACAAGCCAGGACATTATATAGTCCATTAGCAGGACATTGTTTTTCGGGCAGTGTCATTGTTTTTGAAAGAGATAAGATAAAACTGCCTAACTCCCAACAGATGGCAAAATAGAATACATGCTTATTTTACAAGCCAGGACATTATCTACTCCTTATTTTATTTCCATTTGTGTCACAATGAAATCTTATACTTAGTTTTCACTTAAGACTAGGTTTTCTTGTGGTACACAACGGGTTTCTTTATTTTTCTGCATTACTCACTAAGTGTAACTAGGTCTTTGAGCAAAAACAATCCCACGGATGGGTTTGTTTCTGCTTGAGGTGGGATTAATTTAGACAACTTTCTTTAACATACTCTTTATATGTACTACAGGGACTTTATTTCTATCTATTGTGTGCAAGGGTTCAGACTGGGCAGGGCCAGTTCGATTGATGGACTTTCGGGTGTTGACTATCTAGGTTGTTTTTGCTAGGTTATTTTTCTAGTTTTTAAATGTTTCTTCACTAAGTGCTTTTAGGGTAGTTTTAAGGAGTCTGTTGTACCGTTTAACTTTGCTAGCAGCTGGAGCATGATAGGGGATATGATATATCCATTCGATACCATGTTCTCTGGCCTAGGTGTTGATAAGGTCGTTTTTGAAATGGGTGCTGTTGTTAGATTCAATCTTTTCAGGTGTGTCATGTTTCCATAGGACTTGCTTTTTTAGGTTTAAGATGGTGTTCTGGGCAGTGGCATGAGGTACAGGGTAGGTCTCTAGCCATTTAGTGGTGGTTTCTACTATGGTCAGCACGTAGCGTTTGTTTTGGCGTGTTTGGGGTAGTGTGATGTAGTTAATTTGTCAGGCCTCCCCATACTTGTACTTGGACCACCGCCCCCCATACTACAGGGGCTTCACCTGCTTGGCTTGTTTGATGGCAGCACATGTTTCACAGTTGTGGATAACTTGAGAAACACTGTCTATGGTTAGATCCACCCCTCGGTCTTGTGCCTACTTGTAGGTGGCATCTCTGCCTTGATGACTTGAGGTATTGTGAGCCCATCGAGCCAGGAACAACTCCCCCTTATGGTGCTAATTTAAGTCTATTTTTGACACTTCTATTTTTGTTGTCTGATCTACTTGTTTGTTGTTTCGGTGTTTCTTATTAGCTCGACTTTTGGGGACATGGGCATCTACATGACGGACTTTTACCGTTAGTTTTTTTACTCGAGAGGTAATGTCTTTCTATATATTAGCAGCTCAGATTGGTTTTTTTTTACGTTGCTAGTTGGCTTTTCTCCACTTTCCCAGCCAGCCCCATAGAGCATTGGCTACTATTTATGAATCAGTATAAAGGTAGAGCTTTGGCTACTTCTCCCTTTCAGCAATGTCTAGGGCCAGCTGAACGGCTTTGAGTTCAGCAAGTTGGCTCGATTTACCTTCTTCTTTGGTAGCTTGTGCAACCTGTCGTGTGGGGTTCTATACGGCTGCTTTCTACTTCTGGTTTATCTTTACGATGCGACAAGAACTGTCAGTGAAAAGAGCGTAGCGTGTTTCCTCTGCTGGTAGTTGGTTATAGGGTGGAGCTTCTTCAGCTCTTGTCGCTTGTACTTGCTTCTTATTGTTAGTGAGACTAAAGTTTTCACCTTCTGGTTAGTTCGTAATTATCTTTAAAATTTCAGGGCGATTCAGGTTTCTAATACGGGCGCGCTGGGTGATGAGGGTAATCCATTTGTTTTATGTGGCGTCGGTGGCGTGGTGGGTAGTAGGAACTTTTTTTTTGAACATCCATCCCAGCACTGGTAGTCGGGGTGTCAGGAGGAGTTGTGTTTCTGTGCCAATCACCTCCGAGGCGGCTTGAACTTTTTTATAGGCAGCTAAGATTTTTTTTTTTGTTGGGGTGTAGTTGGTTTCGGACTCTTTGAAACTTCGGCTCTAGAATCTTAATGGTCGACTTCGAGTCTCACTAGGCACTTTTTGCTAAAGGCTCCAGGACAAACTATTGTTTCTGGCTGCAGAGTAGAGGACATTTTTGACTTTTGGTCCCGTTTTGATTGGGTCAAGGGTTACAGCATGAGCGATCTCCTGCTTGATTTGGGTGAAGGTTTGTTGCTGTTCAGGGTTTTAGTGGAAATTGTTTTTTTTGCGGGTAACCAGGTAAAGAGGGCTCACAATCTGGCTATACTCGGGAATGTGTATCCTTCAAAAACTTATGGCACCCAGGAAAGCTTGTGTTTTCTTTTTGCTGGTTGGTGGGGACATAGCGGTGATCTTGTTAATGACTTCAGTGGGAATCTGGTGCCGTTTGTTTTGCCATTTTACTCCCAGGAACTGGATTTTTCGGGCAGGTTCCTTGACTTTGCTTTTTTTGATGGCGAAGCCAGATTTTAGCAGTATTTGGATGATCTTCTTACCTTTTTCAAACACTTCTGCCGCTGTGTTTTTCTACACAATGATGTCATTGATGTACTGCAGGTGTTTTGGAGCTTTACTTTTTTTTAGTGCAGTTTGGATCAGTCTATGGTAGATAGTGGGACTGTGTTTTTACTCTTGGGGCAGTCGGTTCCAGGTGTACTGTACGCTCTTTTAGGTGAAAGCAAACTGAGGCTTGCATTCTGTTGTCAGAGGAATGGAGAAAAACGCATTAGTAATATTAATAGTGGCGTACCACTTCGCTGCCTTGGACTCCAGCTCGTACTGGAGTTCTAGCATATCCGGTACAGCGGCGCTTAGCGGTGGAGTCACTTTATTTAAGGTACGATAGTTTACAGTTAATCTCCATTCTCCGTCAGATTTGCGTACAGGTTAGATGGGGTTGTTGAAGGGTGAGTGGGTTTTGTTGACCACTTCTTGGCTCTCCAGCTTACGAATTATTCTGTGGATGGGGATTACGGCATCTCGATTCGTCCGATACTGCCGGCGGTGCACTGTCGAGGTCGCAATTGGCACGAGTTGCTTTTTCACCTTCAGGAGTTTTACTGTAGATGGGTTTTTTGACAGTTTAGGTGAGGTGTTCAATTGCTTAATGTCTCTTGCTTTTACAGCAGCAATGTCAAAAGTCCACTTGAGTTTCTTTGGGTCTTTGTAATAGCCATTCTGGAGGAAGTCTATGCCTAGAATACACGGGGCCTCTGGGCCAGTTACCTAAAAGATAAGTGTATCATATTGGAAACTCATGTCTTCTTACGCCATGCAATTCTCTGGGGAGCTACTAAGCTGTCTCTGGAGAACTGCTGAAATATTTCATAGTAAGCAAGTGGAAGCTAAGAATAAAGAATCAACTGAATTTTTAAGATGGCCATTTAAAACCCCCACCCTGTCTGTTTTCACTAATACCCATTAATTTCACTGTCTAAACAACAAATGAGAAAAAAAGGTACTTTCATTAAAAATCTGACACTTCCTCCTTTAAAAGTAACATTCAGACAGTAATATGGAAGTAGAGTTTCATGTCCATTTATCTAGAGAGAGAAACAGAAGAAAGCATTGTTGACAGGAGCAAGCAAACACACGGGCATGGGCAGGAGAGTGACCCTGTACACCAGGTGTGACCCACGTCTGCATCACACACAAGCACATCACAAAATCCTGGGGACAGGCTCCACTTTGGGAGGATGTTTGTCCCACCATCTCCACCTGCTCTGGGACTTCAGCCTTCTGACAGTCAAAAATATTCTTTTAATTTTTGACTCAAATGAATACATGGCCAGCTTGCAGCCACATGCGCTGGTGGCAGCATGTCCTCGGCTCCACTAGGTCTCCTCCTCTGGCCCCAAGCACTCTGCAAGAACATGGAACATCTATATTGCCACCAGGCTCATGCTTCCCTGGCTTAGTCACACCAAGTTCTTCTCTCCCTTTCTACAGGTTACTCTCCTCTCCCCATAACCCACATCCACATCCCTCCCTGACACATTTCAGGAGTTTTTTTTTATTAAATAAAATACTTTTTTAAACATAAGAGTAAGGGATTTTGCGCTCACAGTGCAACTAGAATATGACCTGGAAAAGATAAAAGGAAAAAAAAAAAGGGAAAAATAAATAATAGAAGGTAGGATGAGAGCCTATAACCAAAAGTGCAAAGTGCATTTGCAAAGTTTTGGTCTTTTGATCTTTTCTGACTGGAAACAACAGCAGTTTTCTGAAGCTGCTTTGTAAGTCTGAAACCCACGACAAGGGAGACTGAGAAGGGCAGAGAGCCAGTGATGCCACATGATACGCAAGAGGTGGCAGAGAAAGGGAAGCACAAGGGCCCAGGCTGGCACTGGAGATAAAGATCTCCAATCCTCAGCAACCAGCCTTAGGTAACTCAGATTAATTAGATCACGGCTCAGTTTTCCCTCTTGAAAAGTACTTCCCTAATAAAGACTGTTATTAGGAACATAAACCTCCATTCCAGCTTCTTTAAGTACCCAAACAGACTGAAATAACAAGGTAACTCATATCCCTTTCCATTCCTTATCAGACTAATACAAGCTCAGTGACAAGCAAACAGCCATCAATAGGTGTGTATAGGGAAATTTCTACTCAGAGGCATAAACTTATGCATTTCCATGTATGGATGTAGCTAAGACTCATTTTAAACTGTAGAAGTATATGAACACTTGGTTTTAACTTATCAACATAACATTGTTTTTCTACAGAGGAATAAACCAGTACTTACATAAAGACCTCAAAGCATTCACAGTAACCTAAAGTAATGAATATTGTAATGAGAAACACAAGTATTTAGGGTGATAATGACTGGACTTTGCTCTACTTAGATCAGCTCACCCCCTATGGAGGCTACCAAAGCTTAAAGATTTTATCACCCTAGTAATCAGCAATGGGTAATGGCCTTCATAAAACATAGTAATTAAATTGACTGATT